ACGGTTTTACCTCTTTTAAATCGATCACTTGTCACAAGTTTCGCGATCGCGATAAGGTTGCCCTTGCAATCTTTAGCTAAGTCAAGGTGCGAAACCGACGTCAGACGCTGCGATATAATTTTCCTATGTCACTATATATCGAGCAACTAAACAGATTAATATCGATAATGATATATGTCGAGGATTATGTCATATCTCGGTATAATACACATGTATGTTACGATAAGCTGTGTCAATAACAGTTTATCCCTGCAAGTATTATAAAATTATTCTGATATATATATTAAGGATAAGATTTTATTTTATATATAGGGTGTCTTTTTAATATTAACAGGCAAATATCTCAAAACCTGTAAGTTTTAGAAGGAAACTTTTTTGACAAAAGTTGTTTGGTTCTGAGGGGGAAAGAAGATAGGAATATTAGTTAGATCTTGAATGGCATTGTTAAGGTTTTATCAAGATTACATTGAATTTTTTTAATTAAAACCTCTATTTTTTATTGCATATTCTTATAGCCTTTGTCGAAGCCTTTTCAAAACACTATAATAAAATATTTTTTCATTAAGTATTTTTCAAGTTATTTTATATCTTAATCTGACATATTTTGATATAAAAAATAAAATATCTTGTAACATATTCAGTTTTCGATAATCTTACCGTAATACTTTTATGTACAGAATAATGAGACAAATCAATTGGTATAAAAAAAAAAAAATTGCTTTTGAGAAAAAGTATGTAATTATTTACAATGTATTTCTTTAACAATTATTTGTTTTTTTTACACTAATTGATTTGTCTCTTTATTTTGTACATAAAAATATTACGGTAAGATTATCGAAAACTGAATATGTTACAAGATATTTTATTTTTTATATCAAAATATGTCAGATTAAGATATAAAATAATTCAGAAAGTACTTAATGAAAACATACTTTATTATAGAGTTTTGAAAAGGTCTCGACAAAGGCTATAAGAATATGTAATAAAAAATAGAGGTTTCAATTTAAAAAATTCTATGTGACCTTGATATGACCTTAACAATGCCACCCAAGGTCTAACTAATATTTCTATCTCTTTTCCCCCTCAGAACCAAACAACTTTTGCCTAAAAAGTTTCTTTCTAAAACTTACAGGTTTTGAGATATTTGCCTGTTAAGATTAAAAAGACTCACCCTGTATATTCCCATACTAAAAAAGATAATTTCTGTTTTATTTAAATAAGACAGATATCATCGTATCTGTCGCAAAGAAATGAAAGCTTTATTTTAAACCAAGATAGCAAAAATATTAATAGATGAAAACTGTACTTTAAGCGGATGTTTTCATTTTTAATTCTGTAATATTGCGGATCGAGCTGTAATACGTGACATTTGTTACATATGCGCGGACAGTGTAGGTTGTACAGTTTACATTCGACCGTAGTTGCGTAATTTACATGAGAGAAAGTTGCACTATACTAATTTCGCTAGCAACTATTCCCATGTAGATATCGGGATATTTAGACAGTGAGAGAATTTCAATAGTTTTCCCGTTATACCGACTACTGCAATGGATTACACGTGTCGATTATACTTGCTCATAAATTTCCTAAGTCGTTGAAGTACCTTTGCAAAATTTATTTAAATTAATAAAACAACAATTAAAGTTAGCTGTTTTAATTCTCAGACTCGCAAATCTAATTATCATTTGTGATATAATAATTTTTATTTTGCGCCCTGTTATTATTGATTGCTATATTTTTTAACATTTATATATGGTGTTATTATTGATCGAATTACTTACTGTTTCGATATGGCAAAATTTCTTCTGTTTAATTGGATTAATCCACTAATGAGGATTGCTATATGCGTTTGAAGCATTTGTAACATTATTCAGTTTCATTCTTCGCGTGTCAATTCCGGAATTACCATAAATTATACACCTACATATTACATTAGGGGACAGTTGACATTATAATATGAAGAGCGCCACACGTTATATTATGCATTACGTTATTCATTCTATTATAAATATACATAGAAAATATTTAAAGTTCTTTTTTTCTTTTTCAAGAATGAGACGCATTTATAATTGAATTCTTTATCTTTTTTTTTATTTATTTATTTTTTTTTTCTTAAAATAATTGCATTATTGAAAAATAACTGATTTCGCGACAGCGACTGAAAATAATCTGATGTTTAATTTTAGTGTATAGTGAAAATACTTGTGTAGATACATCTTTATACGATATACAAAAAAACTGTAATTTCCGAAACGCGGAGATCTATTCTATGATTAATATTTTCCTACAGTTTTAACCTTGTTCTTTCGAATTCGAAGAAGTTTTAATCATTAACAGCGTTAATTAATTCTTTCACATTCATATGATCGCCCTGTGATAGATATACTGTCAGGTTTTCGCAAGATGTCATAAATCGCGCTGTCAAAAAAATTACTGTCAAATGCATCGCTCAGCTGTGAGAGGCTTTTATTGATATAAAGTAATGCATAGCGCAATGTCGAGATAATCAATCAACGGAAAAGAGCCAACAATACTTGCGAGTATCGATTTAATATGGCTTTTTTAAAAATGGAAATATCAACAAAAGCAAAGCTGCCTTAAATATTTTAATGATGTATTTTATTCTCTCTAAAATTGTATTATATTTTTATGTTAAGCACAATGATCAGAAATAATCGCAAAAACCATGGATCACTCAGCATTAAATTTTACGACACCTGTAAAACTGAATATTTCTTTACGAGTTTTCTTTAGTTTATGTGTGAATTTTTATCTCTTGCGATTTTTTTTTGTAATGCTTAAAATAAAAAAAGATTTATACAAATGAAATTTTAAAATAAAGTAGATCAATTAAACCCTAAAAGATGCCTCGTTTAAGATAATAGATTAATGAATTAACTCAAATAATAAATTTGTTTTGATAAAGCTGTTAATAATCGTAAATTAATAATAATTTATGTTATTTAATGTTGAAATAGATCTTTTTCCCTAAATAGATTTAAGCTATTAAGCTAATGAGTACACATGGTAATAACATGAGTTATGTAAATAATCCTTACGGAATCCTAATGGTAGGAAAATTATTACTGCAAAACAAGATGTATTTTAAATATTTACTTTGTTCTAATTAATAAATTCAAATTTATATATGTGCGCGCATTGTTTATTGCCATTATATATACACATCGACATCAATGCATATTTGTATAAAATAAATTATCTTCAATCGCATAAAAGAATTATAAGTGTCAATTATTATTTTATAAACATTTATCCATATATTAAATCACACAAACAAAAATGTCAATTAAGAGAGATCTTTATGAGGAATATATCAAAAGTGTCCAAAAATTTTCGTTTATTTAGAATCGCACAGTCGTCGAATTATATCGCACGTCCGTCGACAATTGGCCAACGTCCCGTCGAGAAAAGAGAATTACTTTATGACCCAATTAATCACCCGGGTTAATCCTACCTGAGGGTGCCAAGGGTCTTCCATTAAATGAAAACGCACTCAAGACTTTTTTCGGACAGTTATGATTCTCAGGGGCGAATACACGATACACGTACACACGAGCGCAAATTTAGAGGTAGAATTCGGATGGAAGGCTTGTTCTCTCCTTGCGAATATGTCAAATCTATCTTGCTTTCAAGATAGCAATCCTAGAAAATATTGGAAGAAATTATTTTTGCCCAAAAATAAGCAGTTTCTTATTAATTTATAATTAATTGTTATTGTTTGATATAAATTAGAATCACTAGGTTGCTGATCACTATCGCTAGATTGTGAATTGCAAATTAGTGTCGTGATATGTTTATCGGTAACAAAACAAACGAACAATATGTGGTTCCGCCATTGATTTCCAAGAGATATTCAATAGTCGATTCTTCAATACGCTATTAATGTCGACGAAGATCTTGGAATTGTACGTCTCCTCATTTTTCTCAAGCATCATCGACGAAGCGTCTCAATGCGGAATGTGAAAACACCAATCCGATGCGCGATAAAGGATAGTTCTCAGGACCATCCATCCTGTTAATACGACACTGCCGAAAATTTCTCTTCCAAGAAGAAAAGATTTCGATTCGTGAATCGTGACTCGTAAGCCGGATCTTTCATTCGATACATGTAATAATATTATCTTATAAATCGCATTTTTCGCAATAGAAATTTGTAGATTGGAATTCAATATCTTCGTATCACACAGTTTGCAAGAATATATATATTTATTGAATATATTCGCGCAAGCTCTTTGAGACAGAACGTTTTCTGATAGAAATGAGATGTACACGTGCGAGAATCGTGTCTTTGCATAACAAATTTAAATGATATCGTTATTTTTCATGATTACACATCTAGTGTATATTATGTTTGATATTATATTTAACGCTATTATACAAATTTTTATCGCATTTATTCAAAATTCATGTAGAAATTGAGGATTATTGTCAGCTGGAAATTATCATCGAATACGCGATGCAGATGAATGAGTTGGATATAAAAACTTTCAGCAAAGATCAATCGGAGAATCAGGTTAGTTGCGTTTCTCGAATTTATTAGAACATATATATGGCAAGTTTTCGTTGAGTCAAATTGCTTGACCATTGACGGCTATTGATAAAATATATCAAAATCCAAAAATTAAATAAATTTGCAATGACATATCTGTATTAGGTTATCGTTAATGATGCTCGTCGCGAAGAAAATGACAGAACGTTAGTAAAGCCGGAAATAATTAATGAACCCGATCCGAATAAATCCCGGGTACCAGACTCACTGAGTAAGTCAATTAATTTGCTTTCATGCTGTATATTCGTCTTAATTTCAAATTGTCTTCACGAGTGACCTTTAAATTTATGCTTTTAATTAATAATAATGCTTTTAATTAATAACTTACGTTCACAAGATTGAAAGAAATAAATAAATAATTTCAATTATTTATACAGTTATATAGCATTTATTTCAAATCATTAATTATTTCTCTTGAATGTAACTTCGATACTTCACAGATGAATGAAAATAATTATATCATCAATAAATCTTGGAATAGGACCTTTCTTTTCTTCATTCATTTTTTTATTTTTTTTTTGTATGGCTATCAATCAATCTCAATGTGTGTTTTTAATTTTATTTCACGACATAATCCATCGTAAGACTATCGCTGACACCTTTAAATGTATCCATCCATCTGTTTATTTTTATCGCCGCTCAATATCAATACGTTCATCTCGAAATGGAAATGAAACTTTAATAGTATATCTTTAAAGCGCGCTTCAAGTACGCGGAGCTTATATATATATATATTATCCTCTTAATACATATTTATATTTTTATATCTTTCTGTCTGTGCTATTTCTAACGATGCAAAACGTAATATACAAAGTCAAAAAAAGAAGTACCGCAGAAGAGATAGAGAGATAAAATAGCAGAGAAAATGTTAGCTGGGAAAATGAGATTGCATTTAAAATTTCCGTATTTGCACTCGATATAAAACTTTTGGGAAAGTTATACCGTGATTTATTTCACTGCAGCATCTGCGGCTCGATAAAAATGTATTCAGTCCGACCACACACGCGTAATCTTTCTGATTTATAAATTCAGTCGCACTGACGAAAATGAAATTATACCATCATTTAATTTTTTCTCTCAGAAAATTTGCCGTCCGCGAATCTGTTACACGTGTATATATTCGCCTACATGAAATACATTTCAATTGCAAGACTCACTCTATATTTATTGCCGCAACTGCCGTGCGATTGGCGGAATAGTTATCGATCGATTTGCCGCCAATCGCAATACATATGGGAGAAGAGTGGTATATTTCTAAAGCCGATTAATAAAATGTAATTGCTCATATTGCATGCTGACTTTCTGTATTATATTCAATGTGAAAAATTATCGATGTGTTGATAGTATATCAACTATGTAATTTTGATAGCTTATAAAGATATGCAATATGCTGTATGATTAAGGATTTTTTTATATAATGCATCCATGTTATATCAATATGACAAATGTCATATATATAATAAATATAAGAAATATTTTTTAAGTTCTAACATGTCTCTATTATTAAATGTCAACAGATTCTGCCAGCCCTCGACAGATTGTACCATCAGAACAATCAAGGGGCTCATCGGAATTATCTCGAACGATATCAAGGACCGAGGCCGTCAGGCAGGACGTCAGGAGGTTGAAGAGC